TCATGACGGGAGTGGAAAAGGTGAATATAGAAAAGTTATTTATTTATTCCCACAATAGAAGAACTAGGGGTCACCACATGAAATGAATAGGCAGCAGGTTTTAAAAAGGCCAAAGTGACTTAGGTGTGGGTGGCAGGGACGGACGGCTTGGGCTGAACCATCCATCTCAGCTTACGGGCTCTCTGCAGTGTAGACATTCTCCTACTCCTCAAAACATGCCTACCAGTCCATGGCAGACACCTGTATTAGCTTCCCAAGGGCGGGACCCGAGCATCTCCCCTCCCAAGGCAGTGAGGTGCCTCGGCAGGTTTGCAAAAGCACATAGTGACCCCATTTCTAACGCTGTTGAGTTGCTCGGATGCCTTTAAAAATCCTACTGGGCTCTCGGTGCTTAAATCTGGTTGCTGGCAAATGAGAAAACCTCACCAGGCACCTACCGGCAACTTCCGAGACCCTCGAAAACCTGGCCCTATGCAACCTGGTGAACATTGCACAGCAAAGCCAAGAATGTCTCTTACGTCTCCCAACATCTTTCTAACTCTGTAATGCCCCTTCCTCTTCCACACCGCCTACGGATTCACCGTGGCGGTCAAAAAGGCAAATAGGATGCTAGGAATTATTAGGAAAGGGATAGAAAATAAGACCCAGAATATCTTACTGCCCCTGTATAAAACTATGGTACGCCCACATCTTGAATACTGTGTACAGATGTGGTCTCCTCACCTCAAAAAAGATATTTTGGCCTTGGAAAGGGTTCAGAAAAGGGCAACTAAAATGATTAGGGATTTGGAACGGGTCCCATATGAGGAGAGGCTAAAGAGACTGGGACTTTTCAGTTTAGAAAAAAGGAGACTGAGGGGGGATATGATAGAGGTCTATAAAATCATGAGTGGTGTGGAGAGGGCTGATAAAGAAAAGTTATTTATTAGTTCCCATAATAGAAGAACTAGAGGACACCAAATGAAATTAATGGGTAGCAGGTTTAAAACTAATAAAAGGAAGTTCTTCTTCACACAGCGCGTAGTCAACCTGTGGAACTCCTTGCCAGAGGAGGCTGTGAAGGCTAGGACTATAACAGAGTTTAAAGAGAAGCTAGATAGCCTTTTATGGACCTAACTGCCATGAAATTATTAGCCAGGGGATAAAATGGTGTCCGTGGCCTCTGTTTGTCAGAGGCTGGAGAAGGATGGCAGAAGACAAATTGCTTGATCATTGTCTTCGGTCCACCCTCTCTGGGGCACCTGGTGCTGGCCACTGTTGGCAGACAGGCTACTGAGCTAGAAGGATCTTCGGTCTGACCCAGTACGGCCGTTCTTATGTTCTACCTTATGAGGAATGAGGAGAGGGAACTGTCCAGCGCGTAGCCCTGTTTGGGTCCAATTTCTGTCATTTGCCTCCCTTGGATACAAACTCCCAGGCTGCCTAAGCAAGCCTGCGTCTGTGCTTTGCTTTCCCTCCAATTGCTTATAAGCATCATCACTGACAGCAGTTAAAAGGCACCACGCCGCTTCCTAAGCAAGTACATTTATTTTGTAGATGAAAGCATTATGGAGAAAAACACAGAGAAATCAAATTTCCTATTTGTATGTGACAGACTTACCAAAAGTCACCTGTGGAGCATCAGTAGAACAAAGTCCTTCCAACTCCTGCCAGGAGTGATGGAGGCTCCCCTGAAACAGGAGGTCCTGCCTGGTTGCTGGACCAAAGGAATTCCCTGGGTTGATTTTGACTAAAGCTAGTTGTCCAAAAGTCCTTTTTCGGTCTGTTAGGGTGTGTCTAGACTCCAGGGTTTTGTCGACAAAAGTGGACTTTTGTCAACAACACTATACCTGCGTCTAAACTACCGCTGAGTTCTGTCAACGTAACGTCAACAGAATTTGGCAGTTTTGTCGACAGCGGTAAAGCTCATTCAACGAGGAATAACGCCTTTTGTCGACAGAGTTCTGTTGTCAGAAGGCGTTATTGCATCTACGCTGTCCTGTGCGTCTACATTCTCATGTCAACAAAGCGGCTTGCTGTGTCGACAGAACTGGCTGTAGTCTAGACTCCCCTTGTCGACAGAAACTTTGTTGACAGATACTGTCCTCTGTCGACAAAAGCCTGTAGTCTAGACGTACCCTTAGCCTTTGGGGAGTCCAGTTTGAACCACTATACCTGAGCCTTTCCGGTTGAGGGTATTGTCTGGAGTAAATATGCTGAATTACCACCCCGTCTTATTCTTAGCTCCTGGAGCCCTGCTGTGGGGTCCAGTGGACAGAGTGTTGGACGTCTCCACAGCGGTGGCTCGTGAGAGCAAAGGTTGTGAGTTCCAATCCCACCAGAATCACTCTACAAACTTTACGTTACGGGTTTGCTCAGCTGGCTGCAATTGGCCTTTTCAGCCAGGCTGGAATGGCAGAGCTCTGGCCTAGCCAGTCGTCTGTCACACGCCTCCCCCCTTATGAACCTCCAGGCTTGGGCCTGCCTTGGCCCTCTCAGGGCCCCCTACTCTGACGTCTCAGTGCCTTAAAGCTCTCTGCCCTTGGGGGTGGCTTGCCCCCTTTTTCTTGGGCCCACTGTGGACCTGTCCCTTGCTCCAGGCTGGGCGAGCCTCGGGCCCCTGCTCTGGGGTTCCCCCTCCCTGGCCTCTCTGGTCCTTGCTAAGGGGGCCCGTTCGGGGAGAATCCCTGCTCATGGCCAAGCGCTGCCTCTGGGCTCCTTCGGGAGCCTCCTTCATTTCCTCCCCACAAAAAATGACAGTGGGAAGGGCCTGACCCATAACGTTCAGCACTTGCCCACAAGTCCTCACACAAAACACACCCCGTGGGGGCCCTTCCTCCAATACCCCTTCCACCTTGGGGGTCAGGGTCCTGCCCCCCTTTGTGTGGTACTATCTGTGCCTCAGTTTCCCTCACCTCTCCATCCGGGTTGATGTCTCCTTTTCTGGGGGCTTCCCTGGAGAGCGAACCAATGGCGCCTCCTCTCCTTGGGAGGGGCTAGGGCTACCCATCGCCCCCAGACACCCTTCCCGTCTGTCTGTCTGCACAGGGTTAGGACACCGTCCCGCTATGTGCCCTAGTTCCCCACACCTGTAGCACTGACGGCTACGCTTCTGTCTCCCTCAGGTGCCTCTTTCTTTCTCTCTGTGGCGGGCCAGTCCCAGTGCCGACCTACCACCACAGGGGATGGTAACTAGTCCACTACCCTCACCTGCTTCCCCCGGAATCAGCTCCTCACTTCCAGCGGCACCTGGGCTATGGGGTAGGACCTCTTGTCTCCATTGACACCTTCTAGCATCAACTATCCAGTGTGGCCGCACCAGACCCTTCCACATGAGCGAGTGAGCTGATGCAGAGTCCATTAACCCTCGCCAGGCCTTTCTCCCCACCCGTATCGGGACTCTGGGCAGACTCTGCCTCTTACCAGGTCCTGCCGCCTGAGCCCACCCACATCACCCCACATATGCAGAGTCAAAGCTGTCCGGACAGTCTCGCTTCCTATGTCCTGCCCTTCCACATCACCAGCAGGCCATTGTTCCAGCTCCTCCGGGTGTTCCTTGGGGGTGCCTTCCTCTCCGGGCCTTTCCCCGGAAGGGGCTCCTCCGGCTTCCTCTCTGGGTCCTTGTCCCTGTAGGGTCGGCCTTCTCTCCGGGGAACCTCCACCTCGGGATACTCCTCCGCCAGCCTGAGCACTGCATTCACCGTTACGGGCTGACCCACATGTGGATAGTCTCCGGCAGGGCTTGCAGCAACTGCTCGAGTACAAGCGGGTCCAGTATTTCCTGCACTGTCCATGTCTCTGGCCTCAGCCAGCGGGTTGGCCAGTCTGCTAACTTTTTGGCAAACGCCCAGGACCTCACTGCTGCTGTCCATTGTACTGACTGAAACTTCTGCCAGTACTTTTCCATGGACAGCCTCACCTGGTTGAAAATGGACACTCTCACTGCCTCATAGCTCACGGCTCGCTCATCCCCCAAAGTCATGTAGGTTGCATGAGCCTCTCCTGCGAGGTAGGGAGCCAGACACAGGGGCCATGTAGCCCTCTCCCATCCGGCGCCCATGGGTAGCCTTAAAAAGCATCCGCGTCATCTGCTGGCCCCATTTTACAGAGTCCCAGGCCTGGTGGTCAGGTGCCATCCCCTCTCCTGGGACTCACCACTTGCTGCAGGAGTTGCTGTGGCACCTTGCTCTGCTCCTTAATGAAGTCCCGCAGGTTTTGCTGCTGCTCTGCCTGCTGAGTTAGCATGATCTGTCTCTCCCCCCGA